TACCTTTTCTGGTCACCACTGCCAGCACCGCAGGCTGAGCCAGGGGAAAGCAACTACAAGAGTCCCACAAGGATTACAGCTCTCCTCTCCTCTTCCTTTCTCATTTACCAAGACTGATAGGGAATCTGGACAATGTAAACTCTCCAGAGTCTTAAAGTAGACTTCACAATGAAAATTCCTAGAACACCTCAATCAGTTGTTTTTAAAGTTCAAGTAGGATCCACAACAAAACACCTGACGCAACATCATCATTTTCCACATAATACTTACCAGTTTAAAAGCCAGAAAGTCATCAACCCTAATTAAGGAATTCTGTAAATGAGAACCAAAGATAATCTCTCAAAGCTTAAGCCAAGAATATCATGGTTTTCAGAAAAGTAACTTTAAATGCATGTGATTTATTAACTGGAATACTCCTTTAACCTAAAGCCCTGCTTAAAAGATTTGTTTTCGGCTATTCTTTTAAATTGCTCTGAACTTCATCAATAGGCCCAGCTGTTAAATTTGGAAGCAGTGACCACATCCCTGGGCAGCACAACTTGGTCTTCTGTGGCCATCAGAGAAAGCTGACAAAAAGCCAGCACATCAAGCGCCCTTCAAACCCATCGTAAACCCGAACAGAAACAAATAAATATACTGCATTCATCTTAAAGAAACAAAATTCTACCACGTGCTGGATCCTGCTTGCTAAAGAAGCCAACTCTGAGCAGCGTGAGTGAGAAGAGGGAGCCAGCACTACAGGTTTCTGAAAACAATCAGCCATCCCCTCAAGTCAAGTGCGCATCAGGGAAGCTGACTGTGCCCGCTTCCCGGAGATGCGGGTCCCGGGGGAAGACTGGCAGCGGCCCGGCTGCAAGAGCTGTCGCTGGACTTAAGCCGTGAAGCCACTGTGCCACTTCTGCTTCCCTGACTCAAGCAATTTTAAGTGACGTATATACTTTTGAACCACACTGTCTCTTATAGTGGTGGTTTTTCTGGGATTCCGGAAAGTATCAACTGAATTTTATCACAATGTTGGAGACTGGTCTCTCTCACCCCTCCACTCTGTCTGTGGTTCCAAAATCAAGACTTGCTTCTGTGCCGGCACCTGGGAGCAGGTGACTGCTAACAGCCTAATTGGCAGTGAGCGCTCCAAACATGTGAAAGACCCTGTCCTTTCCAGCGATGACCAAGCAGCGATACTGCAGCAAAAAATTGCCTATTTGGGGTCCAGGACCCAAACCCAGGCTATCATCTCATAGTTCTCATTACTCTTTTCAATATACCACTGTTCCCCTCTTTATTTTGGGGTGTTTTTTTTGGAGACACGGTCTTACTCTGTAATTCAGGCTGGCCTTAAAATAACTACGTAGCCCAGGCTGACCTCAAAATTGCAGCGACCCTTCTGTCTCAGCCTCCAAGTGCTAGGATTACAGGCGTGCACCACCATGCCTAGCTCATCACTCATCTTTTTTAGAACATGATTTTAAAAATGTCTTTCATATATTTTAACTTCAAATTTAAAAATCAACTTTGGATTATAACTTATAAATTAACTCTTCAGGACGGAAATCCATACCCACAGAAGAGTTGTTCACTAAACCTCAAAGTTTCAATTTAATTTAATTAAGTGAAAAGCTTTTCATGAAAAATAATCTATCCTACTCAAGAAAAATATTTAAACTTACAGAAATGTACTTCTTAAACAACTTTACTGATGCCAGAATTAACCTCAAATTTTTCAAAGAAAAGAACACCATGATGTTACAATAATTTCTATTATTTTTCAGCTACAGATGCTCATGTACAAACTTTCAGCCCGAGTGAAGAGTCGTGATAAACCTAAGAAATCAGGCCAGCTTTATGTTCTCCTTCCCTCTACCCTAAGACTCAATTTCCACCTTTTATGGAAAGGAAATAAACAACTTGCTTCCTGTTCAATCACCAGCTCACAGCCCGGCTTTTACACATCACAGAACACAACCCACCTCCTCCTCTGCTTCTCTCAAATGTTTCTTATCTTAATTTAAACTTGTTGAAATACGAGACTTTTACCACACTAATGTTTTCCTATGAAATGTATGTATTTCAATATTAAGAAAGCAAGCAACGCCAAGTCGCCCAGCTATTTCTTATTCCTAAAATATCTGAACTAAATTATCTATACAACAAAGAATACTGAAAGGTGAAAATATGATTTGCTAACATTCTAAAAGACTGAAGCATAGGTTCTTACTATTGTGTGCAACTGGAAAAGGGGCATCCTACAACAACCACCTCCTTCTAGTCTAATGACATCAAAATTAAAGCAGCTAAAATGGCAATCAAAGAAAAGGATTAACTTTTCTTTAAAGCTAAATATTACTTTAACCTTGTATTTTCCTTTAAAGATGGGATGCCTTAGCAAAATCGAGCTGGACGGATTCTTTTGTGCTTGGATGAACAACAGGGAAGGCGGCTCGGAGGAGGAACCTGGCTGCTGCCGGGCTCGATGTGCTGGGTGATAAGGCTCCACGGCGACACTCGAGGAAAGGCCTGCTCGCTCTGGACTCTGCATTCCTCGAGAACAATTCATGGCAATAACCAACTTTGCAGAGGAGCTACATGAAAGCTGGGGCCAATGAATGAGGGTCATCTGCTCTTTATCACAAGGGTAAACCTCATCCTGGCCAGTTTCTAACCTTTTAACCCTGTGAATTCCTAATTTACACATGAATAATGGAATTCTTGCCCAAAGTACAACTTTCAGCTTCTAGCTCCTAAGTTTAGAGACCAAGACTTGATTGCCTGGGTGTTAAAAACCTACAGCTTGCAGATTAAAGTTTTACGTTTCAGGGACTGTGCTGTTACATTTCTGAACCAAAAGACATGCTTGCTTGCAACACCTCTAAAAAAATAAGAGAACATATTTTAGCCTGCTGTTATCAATAACCAGGAGAACTAGCTTTAAAAGACCCCAAACCAGAATGTCCACTTAATGCCTATTCTCTTCCTGTTTACACCAGATAACATCTTTACCCTAAAGATAGGAAAAAGCGCTGGAGCTCAGGGACACCCCTTCTTAGCTGTAAGAACCAGCTCTGTCAGTTGAGGGTCTCTGAAAAAATCTAAATTTTCCATGCATTTCTTACTTTAAATCAGTGATACTGGCTGGGTCTTCCTAGCACAAGACCCCCTTCAGGGCTAAGTAAAATGTGTGCAGTTAGTATTAAATAGCAAAGCAATGTTCTAGAGTCTTGCTGCAAAATATGAAAAATACTTCAGTAAGCATTTATTAGAAGTTTTAACAAATACAGACATCTAAGAATTTTTTTTAAGTGAGTACTTTGTGTGTGTGTTTGCTCGAACGCGCGTGCTGGGATCGAACCCAGGGTCTCATGCACGCTAAGCGCATACTCTACCACTGAGTTACCACATTTATTTGGTAAACCTATCACACACTTTCGGGTTTTATGAAAATCAGAAAGCTCTGTATGCTCTCAATGTGTTTCAGCAAGCCTGAGGATTCTTCTCGGGAGGTCCCGGAAACAACATGTGCCGTGACAAATGCTTCATCTTTTCAAGGCCTGCCCGTCCCATCCCCCACCCTACACCCGCCCCGCCCCCAAAGTCCTCTAAGTTACAGTTCCCAGGCAGAAAACACTGGGCTCCACCAACCTGGAAAAGCAGAAGAAAAAGCTGGAGCCCTGAGGAGCAGGTTTGCATTAGACAAAGATTAAGTGAGCAGAACTTAAAGATTAAAAGCACCCTGTCCTCCCTATGTCAAAAGAAGAAGGGGAAAGCAAAGGAGAAAAGCACGCTGTCTTGAAAAGAGTAACTGGGTAGGAAGGCCTTTACTGAATGGAAAAAAAAAGTTATCAGCCATTGATTACAGCAACATGAAAGAAGAAAACGAAAGTTTTCCTAGAAATCCTCTCCAGTTTGTCTTCTTTGGCAGAGATGGGGGTGGTGCTACATTTGAAAATGCCTCTGGTATCTTTGCTTGCAATTTATTTTCTGCAATTAATCATTATTGTACAAATGAAACAAATTACTACTACAAGGGAGGCATAATTATGGCCATGAACTGTTACAATAAACACCAGGGAGAGTTCTGCCAATAGCTTAAGTTTCAATTGTACCTACCTTGAGGAAATTATTTCTTAAAGATCGTCCCTTTATCTCAAGAACTCCCTTTTCCTGCTGCTCCTGTGTGGAAGGATTGTAGGGACAGTGCAAAATCTATCCTTTGCTAATTAACAAAAGCATGCAGGGAGGATGCCCAGAAAGCTGCTTTAGGATGCAGTTTGTTTTGTCTGCTAACTGCTAGGTAACCTGCTGGAGTCCTGGGTGCAGTGTGAGACCATGTGAGAGGCACAACTTCAGCAGGAGCCAGCACTGCTCCCCTGACCTCCACCCACCACCTGCTCATGGTGCTCGGAACAGGTCAGCACAAAGGCAATCACTGGACAGCAAACTTTATGACAAGTGGGGGAAAATGAGCAGATCTGGTGGAAGTCCATCAGGCATAATATGAAAATGGCCTTATCTCGTGCTCTGCCAGCAGGAAAAGACCAGGAAGACTTCAAAGGCTGGACAGTTACTGACCAGTGCCTTTTTCTACAACTAGAAAGCAACATGGGTGATCTAAAAGCAGCCAGAGAAATGGGAGGCTGGGCTCAAAGAGATATCGAGCACCCAGAGCCACCCACAAAACAGAGATTTACTCACAGTGACTGTTTTCATGGCTGAGTTCCAAAAGATGAGTTTGTAGAGCAACTTCTGTTGTGCTAGCCACACCTCTTTACTTGGGGTGACCTGAAATTTAGGCAAAGCCAGTGCCCACAGGTTTTGTTTTGCTTGATTTCCTAAACTCCACTTTGACTTCTGTGTCACTCATCTCACTTTATGCGCATATTCCTCTCTGCATGCCTCCATCAATTACTATCCTCAGGAAAAGTATTAATGTGCGTGATTTTCAGGGTTATGACATTTGTAACTGTCTCAATCAAAAACAGCGAGACCAATACCGCAACACTTACTTGATAAGGTGAGATGCGCCTTTTGACTCAGGATGGCTCCGTATTTGTTCACTGCCAAACACTGGTAAAATCCCTCATCAGAATGGGCTCCCCGCTTGCCTTCCACTTCGCTGATGTACAAAGAGCCATTGGAAAGAACCTGGAAACGTTTATTTTCAGACACTTTTGCTCCATTTTTCAACCACGTGACCTTAATAGGAACTTCTCCATGGGCCTGGCAATCTAAAAAGACTGGGTCCTTCCTTGTGACAGTTACATCCTGTGGTTCTCTTATAAAAAACAGTTCACTAAAGCACCACACGCCTACAAGAAAAAGGGGAGAAAGATATATCCAGAATTACAGGTATAAAATTATTTAACACATAAATGTAAAACACATATTCAGGGTGAAGGATAGAGCTAACCGTCCATATCAGTTCACTTACAAAAGTTTCGTCAACTTTTTCAACAAGGTAAAGTCAACGTTTCACCACATCCACACTAAAGGCAGAGTTTCTATAATTTCTGTCCCTTATAAGAATTCTCAAGTTCCTTTCAAACTAAGTTTCCTTTAGTTTCAAAATCTTCATGAAAACTAAAGAGCATAAGCTGTTTGCTATTTTCACAAGCTTGTCAAAAAGATCTTGAACAGAGTAAGTCGTAAAAGTCTAATTTTACAAGAAATCATTAGCAAAACTCCAACTCTGTGAACAAGCAGGTTAGTTCCCCTGCATTGGAGTGTTTTTGGTACCTTTGGCACCTACTTCTTTGGAAAGCGCCGTTATCTGTTATCTTTTGTGACAAATTACAAGTTTGAATTTTTCTATCTGCCCTTTTACAGCTGGGATTCTGGCTCCTCTCCTTGAAAGAAATCCATTTACTTAATTTCTTCAGGACCAGCTATGTATTTTTAGAGGACAAATAATAGACTGAAAAGTTGGTACCTCTTGCTGGCTTGTACTTAGTGGACGATCGGGCCATTGGATTAGGAAACTTTTATTTCACTTTTTTAGAACTACCAACTGTTGGAAAAAATGAGTGACTAATCGGTCCTTACTGTCTAATAGAGGGAGGAGATTGCTTAATCAACCAATACACATTTTTATCAGAGCAGAGGAAATGCTTTAACCTAAGGACATATATCGCCCTGGCCCCCCGCCAGGATAAAGGATCCGATGACAACTAATGCACAGTTCGGTCCCGCGCCCGGAGCAGAGCTGGGAAGCCGAGACTGGACCGGCCGTGGAGAGCCAGGCTGTGGGGTTCCCTCCTCCGTGGTTCTGAACCCGCTACTACAAATGCCCAGGTGCAGCTTCTGTTTCTAATCCTGTGGGCCTCTCCGTGCGAGTCGCAGCCCCTCGCGGCCGCACCTGACTTCGGTCCTTTCTGCCCGCGGCCGGCGTGGGGCGTGGGCGGCGCGTGAGCAAACGGGGAACCACTGACCCGCAAGTTCTCCTGACATGCAACTTTGACTATAACCTAAATTTATATGGGATCCTTTAAATTAAAATTTAAATAAACCTAAAACAAAGTGCTATTCATCTAAATCCACTTATGTCTCTCATTTTTCTCAATTTACAAATCTCTCTATGTTAATTTCAGATGTGTTAGGAGGTTTGATAAAATTGCTAGTTAGTTGCTATGGTACCAGATTTATTTTGTTTTGTTGCTACTTATTCATGAACATTTTATATTTGGTATACTCAGTAATTAACTTTTATACACTCATAGTTCATATCTACTACCTTTAAGGCATGGCCAGTGATTTTATATTTACTTTTCCTCAACCCCAGG